CCCCCCCTGACTTTAAAGCTGGATCCGCCCTTGTGTTCTACTCGCTGTGACGCGTGTCCTCTTTATATCGGGATTAAAAATTGAACTTCTTTGGCAGTTCGATGAGGAAATTTTATGAATTAACATGTCTTTGGATAGGTAGTACAGTAAGTAACGCAATGTAGAAGCTTGACGACATTTCGCTACGAATTCCTCAGGGTCCCAAAGCTCCTGTCTGGGCACTTCAATTTGTCTTCATTCTTTTCCAGGGGAAGACAATAAAGTCGCAGACACTCCGGAAGAAGAGCAGGAAACTGCTGAAGTAGAGACCCCGAATGATAATCCAAGCCCAGATAATAGTACAAGTGACGCCAAAGTTGATGAATTAGATCAATCGAATAATGACGGAGAACACGAATCTCCCCCAAATGAAGAAGAGCCTTTGGAAAAAACTGAAAATAGTTCTGAGCAAATGGTCGAAGGAAGCGACAATGATCTCGCTGAAGCTCAAGGAGCTCTCCCAGAAGAACCCAAAGAAGAAAAAGAGGGTCTGAATAGCACCGCTGAGACTAAACCAGAGAGTGAAAACTCGGTCCTTGATAGCCCCGTTAAAAGCCTGAGTAGTTCCAGGCCCGGTACAGGAATTGAAAAGGAAAGTGCTAATAAAAGTGAAGAGCACGAAGAAACTGAAATTGAAGGTGAAGGAGTAATAGAAGGTAAACTTCATGTTGTGGTGTAACGTTTGGTTTTCTTACGAGCTTTATTACACGTGTTTTCAGCCTTTTGTATGTACCTTTTTAATACACTGTATTGTCATTGAGGATCACGAATAGCAATATACATGTTTCCCTACATGAATGTGTGTCTTATTTACAATTAAGCAATTTGAAACTGTGTATGCGCACTCACTTTTGCTTGCCGTCCCGTCGGGTGAATAGTCTTGAAAGTTAGAAGGCAAAATGAATGCTTCACTATTCTGTCGGTCATTGATAAAAGCAAGACGATTTAACATTGCAGGTGTCGTGAATGGTGAGCACGAAATCGAGTCCACCAACAACGAGGGCCAAAACCGACTTGTAACTGACGACGAAGACATTAGGATGATGATCGCGTCTGGAAACATGGAGCAACTGGCTGCTTTGGTGCTGAACGGCCATGGGGAGAAACTGATAGGGGAGAAGAGCAACAACCAGGAGTTGCAGACTTTCTTAGACAACGTACCAGTTTATATGGTAAGACAGCACAGGATAACAAATCGGGATTCGATTGAACCCAAACGCTCTTCCAGGCAAAGATTAAGCGCATTCACGTAGCAGCGCGTGAAGGAAGCTTAAGAGATCTGCAAGCTGCGTTGGATCGCCGCAAATTTGCAGTCGCCAGAGACAACGTTTCTCCTAATGGTGCCTCCCCCTTACATGTCGCTGTTGCTTTTGGAAGAACCAGCGTCGTGCGATATCTTGCTGGCAGGTAAATACATTTATAGCAATTTTCCATAGTATATTTTACAAGTAACTTTTCTGCAGATTTCCCGAGACTGTCCATGTGGAAGATACAAATGGACGAACGCCTCTTCACTATGCAGCTGTTCTGCGTGATAACGGACATTACTACAATTTATTAACACATCTTGGGGCCGATAACAGAATCAAAGACAAGGTAAGCACTGTATTGAAGACATAAATTGGCATTTTTCTAATTTTTGCGTCCTTTCAGCTTGGAAATACTCCGGCATTTTACACCAAAAACCAACAGGATTTTAATCACCGGCTGGTTTTGAAGGAGTTCGGCGCCGAGGATCATGCTGATGAGTTCGGAAGCAATAACGGTGAGTATCCAATTCTTTAGCCGCCTAGGATATTGTTGAACGTGCTTATTGCATAAAATAAAGGTTGTAGATCGAACGAGAAATAATTATTTTGACTGAATCAGACAATAAATTTCGTAAACTATATACAAGCTTTATTTTATGTCGCAAAGTTTGTATATATTTTGTACATAATGAGCCATGGTTTTCTGTTAGAATTGTAAATTAGCAAAACATGACTATCGGCTAGTTAGATTTTCGAAAAGGTACGTACTTACTACTAGATGATAAAGATTTTAATTAGTTGCAAACGCCCAATCGAGGAGGGAAAATCCTGAAAAGTTTATTAGGACTTTATTTCGTTATTAGTATCTGAAGACTTGTGGTCTGCTTGCAAAAATTTGGACGACGAAGACATGATTACAGTGCTGGAAAAATGCTTTACAGTCATTCACGGCAGAAGGAACTCTAATGCTATATCTGCAAGTTCCGTTAGTACAGTGTCTTCACAAGTGGCTCATGTGTATAATAACATGAGCGCGACCATTTTATCCAAACAAATTAAACGGTAGGTAGCAACAGCACTCGAAATCATATAGGGGAGAGTAGTACTACTTCCGCATTTCTACTTGTGCCATTCTCTTTTAAATAGATAAACATTGTTACTGTTTCACCTCGTATACCTCCCGTTTATGTCGGCTTCTAGAATTCTTCTAGAAGAATTAGACCTAAACCCGAAGGTCCATTGAAATGAATTATCGGCTTGTGCTCACAACACTGCTACCCTCCCCTAGGAGCAATCGCTAAAGTTTTCTAAACCCTCAGATCAACATTTGACACGGTTAAGCTAAAATTAACAAAACTGGATCATAACTTGTACGACATAATCTGGCCAAGTGTGAAAAAGCTACCAACCGAGCCCAGTATACGACTGTCTTTGGAAGAGGACTTCCCTCTGGGAATCGTAGCGCCCGATTTGCACGTTTACAAAGTGTTTGAAGAGTTTTTAAACCCCATTATTAAGGCTTATAACTATTTTGATGTGAATCATGAATTCACCGCGCAACCGCCTACCGAGTTTCTCAGCAATGGAAACGAAGTGAATCTGGACTTGGATCCACATGGAAATTTGGTCATTACAGGTACCTGCCTATATCTAAGTGCTCACACAGGGGCGGATCCAGCTTTACAGTCAGGGG